ATCATCTCTGACTTCTTCTTCATCATTTCAGAAAGTAGTACAGTAGATCATTCAGAAAATATTCGTGATTGAATATATCTTTACAACATTGTTACTTACAGAGTTCTAGGCTACAGATAGGCTAGTGAGCGTCGTTGGATGCCAACCCTACACAGTTACAGGATGAACACACACTAAGTTGCACGTTTGGGAAACAATAACTTAGTCTCTATCTTGACTCGGTGTGGTTCTATAGCATTATCCTCATTAAGATGCCTTAAATTAGGCTTAGGAATGCCTAGGATGGAATGAGGATGCAAAAATGCACTTTAAAACACTTTTCAAAATTTTCAGAAAACAGGGGTCTCGCTCGAGCGTGGCTTTCTACGCTCGAGTGAACATGCAGACAAAGGATCTCCGCTCGAGCGTGACTTTCCTTGCTCGAGGCGGACTGCAAAAGTACTGGATGCATGAAATTCACGTTCGACGGGCGCTTGACCCCCGCTCGAACGTGAGACATAAGTTTTCGCTCGAGCGTGCATCCCCTCGCTCGAGCGGACTGTAAACACATGCAAAGTACTGGATACACGCATTTCACACCCGAGCGTTGCTTTACTCGCTCGAGCGGACTGCATGAACTCAGAGTGTACGCTCGAGCGTGAAGTTTTTCGCTCGAGCGTGAATCCAAAATCTGAAATTTTCAGATTTGTCTCCAAGAATGAAACTCAACATTTAAAGCATCAAATTCAATCCTTTTGGGCTAATTTTCTAGAAAACACTTTAAAACTCATAATATGACATGTTTCAAAGATCAATTTGCAAAATTAAAGCTCAAAGGTAGTTCAAAGGAACCTATTTCCAAACAAAACTTCAAGAACATAATGTATATGCAACATGCATGAATTTGATCAACTTCAAAGCTTCTAATACAAGAACAAATGAGTCAATCCTTCAAAAAACATGATGAATTCATGGACCAAAGCTAGAATATGGATATGCATGTGAGGATTTCCATGAAATCAACCTCAAAACTCAACAATGTATACATGCATGCATGAATTCCTACTCAATTCAACATAGTAAGCTAATCCATGCCTTAAATCACTAACCTTACCATGAATCATGCAAGAACAACTCAAACTCACAATTAAAAGGGTGAGTCTCCTACCTCAAGTCTCCAATTCAAGGTATAGAAGCTCAAATTTTGCAAGTTCCTTCAAATCTTCTAAGTCTCAAGCAAATTTTGATGAACTCAAGCTTACTTCCAACTCTCTAGCTCTCCTCCTACGGTTTTGGGTCTCAAGAAGGATGATGAAAAGTGATGCCAACACATGTAAATCAAGACTAAACAATTGGTCTAGCAAAGTCCACTTAATGGCATTTTGGTAAATAAGCCAACTAATGTAATTTAACATTATTTAATCCAATTTAATCATACCAAATCAAATTTCAACTAAATTTACCATAAAATCACATTAATTCTAATTAACACAAAACACTAATTAATTCCAGATTCGGCCGCCGATAAGGCCTTCAATTCACAGTTCGACACTTAAAACATGAACAGATCAATTAATAGTCAATCAAATAGAAATGCGTTTAAACTAATACACTCAATCAATCAGTTCAGAATGTCAGTCAAATCAGTTACTTAATCATGTTCAGTCACAGTTTAACAGTAATCAGTGGTGAGGGTTGTCACAGTAATCAGTGGTGAGGGTTGTCACACTTGGTCTTAGATCTGGTAAGCATAGAATGATGATTTTGAGAAGGCAAGCTGAGAGGCAACTTTATAGAAATAGAGGAAATAGGAATAGGTGTTGCAATAGGTGCTTTAGGATCAGCAAAACTAGGGACTAGAGAGGCTGCAGATGAAGGAGTTGCTTTTGTTGGAGAAGCAGAACTAGGAACTGTAGAACTTGCAGATGTAAGTGTGACAGAAATAGAGACAAGACCAGTTGCAGAAAGTGGAACTGTACCAGAAGAGACTGCAGGAACTACAGTAAGAGAAGGAGCAAAGGATATAGAGTGGGAGGTAAGACTGACTGGAGGCCAGAGAAAGTGTGAAGCTGAGGTAAAGTGGGAGCTAGAAGAGAAGCATAGAGTGAAGGATCTTGAAATGGAAAAGTAGTTTCATAAAAAAGAACATGTCTGGAAACATACATTTTACCACTAGACACATCAAGACACCTATAGCCCTTTGTGGAGGGCTGATAACCAAGAAACACACAAGGAATGGATCTTTGTTGAAGTTTATGTATAGTATAGAGTCGAAGCCAAGGATAGCACCTACAACTAAAGACTTTTAAAAAATTATAATCAGGAGCATGCTTAAACAATACTTCAAAAGGAGTTAGATTGTTCAGCTTAGAAGTAGGACGCCTATTAATCAAAAACACAGAAGCAGCAAGAGCACCAAACCAAAATTTTATGGGAAGAGAAGACTGATGCATGAGAGTGATAATGGT